CAACGATTAGAAGAAGGGTTTGAAGCTGTTGTAGATGCTGCTTGTGAACATTCTAAGCGACTCCAAGAGGATGGAAAAGATAAAGACCATGAAATTGATCTTCTCCGTTCCACACTCTCTGAGGTGATGAATACATTTACTGGAGATCCTATTCTCTCTACTGTAGCCTCTGGTAATATTTCTAAAAAAGATATGAACCCTCATCAAAGTCTCAAGTTAACAGATGAAGCCTGTAAAGCTGTCCTTGAAAGATGTCAAGAAGCCAAAGAAGCAGCAGCATCTCTTAATCGATTACTTGGGACTAAAGTGAATGAAGCTCCTCATTCTATTATGAAACTAGTTAAACCCATTATAGATAAATTACATGAATTAGAAACGTGTAGGGCTTCTCGAGAGCAAGAAGTCAATCATCTACGAATGGTTGCAGAGGAATCTTTGAAATTACTTTCGAAAACGAAACCCTCATCTCCGAATTTAGACTCTTCTGATAGGGAAGGGCGTAAAAAAATGTTAATCATTCGACGTGGAGCAGAAGAAGCATCCCAACATGGAGACGATTTACCACTTCGTATGCTCTCAGAATGTGAAACTATATCCAAAGCAATTAGTAAATTGCGAAAATCATTTTTAGACAATATACAAAAGCAAGAGGAAATAACAAACTTCGAAACTCTTGTGGACGCAATATGCCAAGAAATGAATAAAATGAATCAAAACTATTCAAAGAAACAACAAGAAGTAGATACTCTACGTGCGGCCGCAGAGGAATCTTTAAAATCTCTTGAGAACCCTCAAAGATTTACTACCACAACGTTATTAAATCCTTTATATAAGGAAGAACGTAAAAAGACTTTTGCTGTTCTCCGTGCTGCAGAAGAGGCAGACCATCATGGAGATAGTTTACCGCTTCGATTACTCTCTAACTGTGAGGCTTCTGCAAAGGCATTTCAAAAACTTCGAAAACTCTTACAAGAGAATGTAGAGCAACAGCAACAGGAAGAGACCATGAGTCTTCAAGCTATTGCGGACGCAATTTGTCAACAGGTAAAAACACTTCGTGAAGAACTTCTTAAGGGAAATGGTGAACTTGGCAAATTACGAGCCTTAGAGGATGAGAAGGGACGATTATTGAATGAACTCCGATCTCATGATGAGCGGTGGGAATTACCATCATTATCATCATTATCCTCCTCATCTTCATTGAAGCGTGGAGGTAAAAGTATGAAAAGTCACCACACCAAACAATTTGATGGTACTGGATGGAAAGATATCCTCCAACACAAACCAGCAGAATTGCAGCGATCTTTTATTATAGATGCAGTGAATGCATGTCATGTAGATCCAGATTCTCTTACCAATATTCATATGACTGCAGAAGAATCTTCTCTACTCGTAGAGTTTGATGTTCAGCATGATCCCTCAATAACAACAGAGGAAATAGCGAGACGCATTAATGAATTCCCATTCCGTGCAGTTAAACGAATGTATGATCGTCGTTCTGCACCTAAGGATGGTATGGATTTACTTCAGGAACAACTCACAGAGAAGGAAAAGGAGGTGGAAACATTACGTTTAACGATGGAAGTAGTTATTGAAAGTCTTGAAAAACCGAATGCAAAGAAAACAAATCTTCAAGGACAACACGCCGCAGAAGAAGCGGCACATCGTGGTGATAATAAACCATTACAATTACTAAATAATTGTGAATCTATAATAAGAGCACTTGAAAAATTACGAAA